CTTTCTCTCTCTCTCTCTCTCTCTATATATATATATATATTCAGTATGTTAAAATTACTGTTAAGTTTTTCATTTCGCATGAAAGTGCGAGATGATGGGATTTGTGGGCCGATCTCACCTAAAGACGGTATGCCAGTTTACCGATGGTTCTGCACAAGTTCATAGTCATTCAACAAGTCTATTAAGCAGATCGCTTAGACCAAAACAACAATATTATGTAACCCTACAAATGCTATTCCTTGGATAATCAAATCTGAATCACTCTGGACTTATGGGTTGTGCCCGGTGGTTGGGTAACATGATCTATAGAAGTACAGGGTTACATATAATCTCATTCAGACTTACTTTCAGACTTTCGTATTCTCAACCATGATTCTGCCTGGGCCATTAATCCTTGATGACCTGGGCATGTTATTAGACTATTTTCTAATTACTTATAGGAATAGCCAATATCGCGTAAATTGACTTACATGCGTACATATATTAACACACTCATGTATACGCACAGAGACACAAATATTCAAGTGTTATAACTCTAAAGTATATAAAGTAGAATTTATTAAATCACTCTATATCCATTTATATCTCTCTTTTTGCGTATTTAGTTATGAGTGCACATATCATATAGAATGGAGTCGAATATCGCGACATGACTTTCCATTTGGAAGGAACCATTTGCTTGGATGGAATTTGTGCAAAGGTTGCACCGGAAACCGAAGGATTACCGATTGTTGGATTATAAGGAGGCCTTCGGCTCACCTTTCTGCGATTCCGATGAATCTACGCTAAAACTTTGTCCGCCATGCAAAATAGATCACCAGAGCGAGAAGGCATACTTTACGAAATTATTCACGAAATGTAAAAAAACAAAAAACTAAGCATGAAGAAAAACAATCATTTTTACTTCATTAGTAGGGCGTCCAGACTACCAATAAATCTGATATATAAACTATATTCACCCTATTTTGTTTGAGGTGATAAAGACTGGTAGTTGGATTTTCCAACAATTTTATGCGTAAACACTACGTTTTCATTCAACTTTACACGGACTTGCTTCTCAAAAAATATTCTCATCAAGGATGAACTGGGCTAGGCTATACTGCCGCAAGGGCCCTTGGATCATGGGGCAGATGTGAATTTCAAGGAAATCCAGCCCATATCACATTCTGTGGTGGGAGTTGTATGAAGCAAAGTTGTATTTGATCTCTCTGTCTCTGTCTCTTTCTCTCTGCCTCTGTCTCTCTGTCTTTGTCTCTCTGTCTCTGTCTCTCTGTCTCTATCTCTGTCTCTCTCTATCTATATATATAATATATGTGAAAATACCTGACCTTCCCTAAAATTCACATTTGCAATTTGACCCAAGGGCACTCGTGGCAGTGTTGAATAATCGGTGAAATGTCGAGATTACAGTCTGCAATATAACAATTCATGTCCGGCTGGGGGTGCCACTAAGACCTAGGCGAGGTCAACGCCACAGTCAACATCGGCCCGGATGAGAATACCTTTTGTAAGGCAAGGCTATATGAAGCCTATTGGAAACGTAAACCCTACTCATATGATTGTGAATAAATTCAACTTCCATTCCTTCATCATCTTAGCTAAATATGTGAATACAGCTAACTATTTTGGGCTGCTGGATGGACTAAGGAGGGTATAGAAGAAGAAGAAGAAGCGATGAGCAAAAGGCAAGAGGCCTAGATAACTTCGATTCTGATTAGGAGTCTC